ATGGGCTAAAATAACAGTGACCAATGACTTAGCTTAAAACACAACCCCTCTCGACAACAGCCGCCACGCTACTGCCCACGCTTTGGTTCGCAGGCCAAACGTCGACTAAACGTCTACCAAAAAATCAACTAAACGTCCACACAAACATTGTGGAAATTCTAATAACAAAATGCAGCACTAATATTCAAAACATTGTCAAACTAAAGAGTAGTAAACACTGGTATAACATTCCATACAATAATACGGCAACCAAATATGGGAATAAATAAAGGTAAAACTATAGACACTCGATTGACAACAATGTTCCCACACTGGCCATATCCAAATATGGTCAACCGCCCACACGGAGAAACTACATGCGAAATCTAACACCAAAAGCCTCACACACACTACACAGCATGCTATGTTATATATATAACATACAAAATCTTATAACATACAACTGGATGCAATATTAATTAGAGAACAAGACAATAAAGTAATATGAGAATCAAGAGTAATGGCAGAATCTTAGTAAGATTCGTAACAACCTCTTGGCCTATTGTACCACCAACTGTGTAACTATTTCATTGACTCAGGTGTTCTGGACGACATCCTAACAATTTATTCAAATGCTTGTCCATTTTAAAGAATGAAGAACAATTTTTACTTATATTTCTTCGTAGCTGCATCACTTATGATTTGATTTGTCAACTGCTGAATGATCTCCTTGGCAATTAATGCATTTTAAAGTATTGGCAGAGCACTGAGTATAAAAATGACTTTCTGCAGAGCATTTAATAATAAAATAAAATAAAATGTTTATTCAGGTAAGATACATACATACAAGAGATTTTACATAAATTGATCGATTTATAGATGGAGCTAGTACATACAATGCCTAAAGCCACTATTACGCAAAGCGTTTCGGGCAGGAAAAAACATTAATGACTAAAAACTTAATACTAATTGAGTATAAAGAATAAAATGTGTTGAGAACAAATAAAAATAAAGATAAAAAAGGGGGAAACATGGCTGAGAAAGCAGCACAAATACAATTAGGTTGACAAACAGCGTTGTTTAAGAAAACAGACATGGGTTGACAATAGAAGGGTAAGGTAGGTTACAGGGAATTTATTAGGTAGTACTTCGTTTTTATTTTTTTGTCCCCTTTGCTCCCCTTGCCACTTCGGGGGGGGGGAGAAAAGGGTTTTATTCTAGCTATAGAGCCCCACGACCCAGCCACAGGGCATGGGCCGCGAGGCCCCGCAGCAACTAACCCTAAAAACAACATTACAACTAAAAGAAACTAAAACTCATATTGTGGCCTACATGTGCAAAAACACAAAGAAAAATAAATGCACCTGGAGATATATATAAAAAAGAGGATGGTATTAAAAATATAACACAAACACAAAATAAAATGGTATGCCACTAAATGAATGAATTCCTCTCGCGAGGAGAGGATCAACTTTACCAGCATGCGTGCATGAAAACAAAATAAGTCACGGGGAGGGCATGCCTGGCTTGAACTAGTCAAGTCCCCGGAGAAGACAAGAGCACATGCACGCATGTGTCCCTCCAGCCGTAGCTTATCCTCTCACGGGTTCGGTCAAGCCACTCACCATCTCCAGAATAAAGCCACTGGGGAAGTGGTACCCCAAGATGACGTCCGGTAAACTTAGCCGGAGTCCACTCACCCTAATACCTCTGGGCTTCGGGGCACAAGGGAAGTCCACCCACGTCCGTCCAGGGGTGATCATGATCAACCTTCACTTAATCACCTTCAGTGATTAAGTGCTTAATTGCACACTAGTTTCTCTGTCAGCTATCTTACCCTGCCAGAGTAAAAGAGACAAATGTATGTGAATGCATGTGTGTGTATATATGCATGTGTATATGTATATGTACGTATATATGTGTGTGTATGTATATGTATGTGTATAAAGTACATATGGAAGCTGATCAGAATTGCATTTTACCTTTGTAAATGCACATTAATGACACTTCGAACACTTTATGTAGGGCATACATAAATCTGTGTATCTATGTATTTACGTATGTAGGTTAGCTTAGCATTTTAAAAGTACCGAATCGCCTTCTGTGGTTGATTGTTCAATAAATCCCTGAACTATATGTTTAACTGATCTCTAACCCTGTCTATGGAGGACAGAAGAAAATGTTTATATGCTGGTTAGCATTGTAAATGTGTGGCCACGTTTGTGGTAGAAAATAATAATAATAAAAAAAAAGGCATTAACAGGCAAGCGAGTATCCATTCGGTACAAGAGCAGCTCTACCTTACGATACATAAAGCATGGATACAGCGAACATGGACATAACACCACCAAAAAGCAAGAAACTTTCATTTAGGCTACACAGTGAATCAGCTTTAGACAATCTTACAGAGGCACTTCACAATATTAACTGGGATTCTGAATTCAATAATACCCATGATATAAATTCATTAGCTAACCTCTTCCTCTCCAAAACTCTAAGCCTCTACAACCTTCATTGTCCCCTTCTTACCAAGCAAGTAACTGACAAAAGATTAAACAATCCATGGCTCACAAGTGGCATTCTCAACTCAATAAACAAGAAACATGAATATGAAAAGAAAGTTAGGATTGGCCTAGTTTCAAAGGAAGTAGCTAAAAGGTACTCATCAATGCTTACCAGTATCATAAGAAAGGCAAAACTTGCATATTATGTGAATAGATTCAATGAAGCAAAAGGCAACATGAAGAGCACTTGGAAAACTATCTCTAGTATCCTAAGAACTAAACAACACTCACATAACCAAATAAAACTCTACAAGGATGGGGATATACCGTCAACTGATTTAGAAATGGCAAATGAATTTAATAGTTTCTTTTCATCGGTTGGTGCTAATCTTGCCAGTAAAATCCCACAGACTCAGACACATATTAACACATATCTCTCAGGCAGCTATCCAAACTCTCTTCTCCTTTCACCAATCAGCCCGGCAGATGTTGTGTCCATCATACACTCTCTAAAAACCAAGGCAGGGAACACCAGTGAAATTCCGTCCATTGTGTACAAGAGAGCCTCCCATGCCCTTGCCCCACCCATAGCACTACTGTTCAACAAATCTATAGAGTGTCACACCTTCCCTGATATCCTCAAAAAAGCAAGAGTAACGCCAGTTCATAAAGGAGGCAATCCGGCGGACATAAACAATTATAGACCAATATCAAATCTATCCATTCTATCAAAAATATTTGAAAAAAATATTTACAAACAGCTCTATTCCTACCTCGTAAAATTCGACATACTCAGCCCCTGCCAGTTTGGCTTCCGGTCCCAAAAGAGCACCAACGATGCAATCATTAGTCTCCTTGACGTTATCTACTCAGCCCTTGACAAAAATGAGTTTCCGATTGGACTCTTCATTGACCTAAGAAAAGCCTTTGATACTGTTAATCACAACTACCTCTTACTTAAACTCCAGCATTATGGAATCCGAGGCCTTGCCCTTGACTACATCCGATCCTATCTTAGTGACAGACACCAATATGTAACCATCAATGATACAACTTCTTCCACTCTACCAATTACCGTTGGAGTGCCACAGGGCAGCATCTTAGGACCTCTTCTATTTCTTATATATATAAACGATCTGCCTAATGTCTCTAATATTCTCAAACCTATATTGTTTGCTGACGATACTACCCTTATCTATTCAAACCTCAACCCACATACACTAAATAATGTTGTGAATAATGAATTAAAAAAAGTCCACTTATGGATGTCAACGAACAAACTAACATTAAACATCGAAAAGACTTACTACATCTTATTTGGAAGCAAATCATCAAATGCAATTCAGCTACAGATAGACAACATTAACACCAGTAATAAAAATGATGGCAAGTTTCTTGGCCTGTTCCTAGACAAGAGACTCAACTTCAGCACCCACATTCAACACATAACTAAGAAAGTCTCTAAGACAGTTGGTATACTCTCCAAAATCAGATATTATGTTCCTAACTCTGCTCTCCTCTCACTATATTATGCACTAATCTACCCCTATCTTAATTATGGTATCTGTGCATGGGGGTCTACCACTGCAAACCACCTTAAGCCAATCATCACACAGCAAAAATCTGCTATCAGAATAATAACTAACTCTGCTTTCAGACAACACTCAGCTCCCTTGTTTAAATCCCTAAACTTGCTAAATATTAACTCCCTCCACACATTCTCTTGTGTCAACTACATTTACAAAACCCTGTTCTTAAATGCAAACCATGCTCTGAAATTCTCCCTGGACAGATGTAATAGGACCCATTATCACCACACCAGAAATAAATATCTCTTTGATATCCTCAGGGTCAAACTTAATCTGTGTAAACACTCTATGCAAATTAAGGGACCTAGTCTATGGAACTCACTCCCTAGTGAATTGAAAAACTGTAAAACTTTTGCCTTATTTAAAAGCAAAACCAAAAAGTACCTAACTTCATCTTCTTAGTTTCCTACACTGAGCTTTAAATTTGCTCAGTACCTAGTGTTACCCATTCTCCTAATTTTTATGTAATATCAAACAACCTTATCATTGTGTTCATTGCTGTCTTCTTTTATGTGCTAGCCATATGCTGTATTGTGACTACCAATTTTTGTCAACTACCATTCAAGCCGTCATTTCAATCAATCTTATATTGTTTCTGCTGTATTGTGCCTACCTATTTTTTGTCAACTACCATTCAAGCTGTCATTGCAATCAATCTTAGCTACCTATGTGCTTTAATATACTGTACCTACAATTTTCTCTCATCTTCTTTTTTTTCATTTCATGTAATCTGTTATCATTTTTTTGTCTATAAATTTTACAAGTATTTACCTCCTTAAAATTTTCTTAGATTAAGGACCTGCCCGAAACGCTGCGCGTGCTAGTGGCTTTACAAGACTGTAATTACCATATTTGTATCCTCACATTCCTTATGTACATTCTTGTATATGCATAAATAAATAAACATTTTTACTACACGCATTTTCAGACTCGCATCCTTGAACACTCCCTCACTTTTTCAGACACAATCGATGTCCAATCTTGCTCCGCCCCCGCTCCTTATCTTGCCGGCGCTAAAGTCGTCCAGAACTTCACCTGGAACTCCACCACCGTTTATGGCGTGTACTACGAGTGTAACGATGGCCTGCAGATGATATCCGGCTACCCTGGCCGGTTGACGCAGTGTGTGGGCGGCCGGTGGACGGGCATTTTCGACGTCTGTATTGAAGGTAAAGCATTAGCTGCTCTCTGGGCGGGAAGTGCAGGCTAAGAAGCAATTTTCTTAAGACTTGGGTGTAATTTAATTTGATTCGTTCTTATAACAGAGAAATAATCTAACAGAAAATGTTATTCTGCAGAACGAAAAAGTTTATTACAGACGCATCAAACCTGAAAGTCAATGTGATTAATATTCTGCTACTGACAAAGCTAATGATAATGGTTGCAATTGGAGTGAGTATAGCGAGTAAACATTATACTCGCTCCAAAATGATACAAGTAGTAATTGTTATCATTAGATACCCATGCCACAAATTTTAAAGTAAAGGAATTGTGACTACCTTTCTGTTCGTCCTGGATCATTATTCTTTTTTTTTTTGTAAATAATTATTGTAATCTTAATAAAAATAATTATAAAATAAAAACATGTATTTTGTATATGTGTGCCGCAGAATATTGTCCACAGCGGGACTGTTGTGTCCTTGCTGCCCTCAACTACACCAACAACAATGGTACGCAGTACATGGTGGCTCCCTCTGCTTATAGGGACAACAATTCTATCCCGGTAAGTTCACAAAAACTTTGAAACGTTATCAACTTAAATGCCGACACCCGTGAGACCTCACTGCAATACTTAGTGCTGCAAGTTTCAAATAATAGTATTTGTCAAGTCATTATATCTGCAACTAATGTAGTAACGAACATTCACATAAAATTATATGATCAGTATCTAAAAGTTCCTTTTACTTAGTTCTAACAAAAATTTATAACATGAAAGTACTGTACCTCATCATAATGGAAACTGCATCGATCACTTGCATCATAGTGTGTTAAGCTAGGAAAATAAATTATAATTTTTGGCTGGAAATTACTTAAAACGTATTAAAACTCAAAGTTCTCAACTTACTATATATAAAAGCGTCGTCATTGTCTATACAGTATATGTTGAACACATTTGTTCATGGATTTTCACGCTTGTTTAATTTTTTTTGTTAGAAGGTAATTTCTAAAAGGTTAGGTGAAAAGTCACAATTGTACGAAGTGGGTGAGTGTAAGAATGGGAAGAGATAAGAATAAGGGGAAGGGAATAAAAAGGGTAGGCTTAAGTCAGGTCATGTTTGTTAAGAAGGTTAGAACGTTCATGTACTGTGAAATGGAAGTCATCAGCAACAAAGCCAGGACTAAGGTTCATGTTGGGTAGGTTGTGTATCAGAGCTTCTTTAATATATAAATAAAAATAGAAATAAATAAAAAGTCGATTCGACAAGACGGAGTCTGTGAAGAGTAGAGGCAGGAATGATGATCGCTGTTATTGTTGCCTTCTCAATCACCTGGGCTCTAGGAGACTCGAACCGGTGACCCCATGCGTTTGAGGTCGAACCTAACACGCGTGGGCTTCCCAACCCGTCCTCGTCTAAAGACCATTACATCCAGCGGTCGATTCCCACAAACTTTGGGACTTTGTTTGGAAGGCGGGCTGAGGCTTCCAGCCCAGCCCGTCCTCCAAACAAAGATCCAAAAGTGATTCCATGCACCCGCCAAACCCCCTGTTTATGAATGAAAAGCGGTTTACACACGACTCACAACTGCTGACGTTCGAACATATCCGGAACAAGTGCTTCACTGACGAATTTTGTTCGAATCACAACGCTATAAATGCTTCACCCACGTACTACAAATACAAATAATCGCCAACAGAACCTAAACACCTAACCTAACCTATCCTATGCCTATATATATACAATATGCTAATATATTATAATATTAATTTATACTTGCGAAAATTCCCGTTTTGAATGAACAGCATATTAAAATTTATGAATGCGTCTGTGGGGTTGACCGCTGAATGTAATGGACTTGAGTCGAGGACGGGTTGTCCAGCCCGTCCTCCAAACAAAGACCCAAAAGTGATTCCATGCACCCACCAAACTCCCTGTTTATGCAACCCGTCCTCGACTCAAGTCCATTACATTCAGCGGTCAACCCCACAGACGTATTCATAAATTTTAATATGCTGTTCATTCAAAACGGGAATTTTCGCAAGTATAAATTAATATTATAATATATTAGCATATTGTGCATATATAGGCATAGGTTAGGTTAGGTTAGGTTCTGTTGGCGATTATTTGTATTTGTAGTACGTGGGTGAAGCATTTACAGCGTTGTGATTCGAACAAAATTCGTCAGTGAAGCACTTGTTCCGGATATGTTCGAACGTCAGCAGTTGTGAGTCGTGTGTAAACCGCTTTTCATTCATAAACAGGGGGTTTGGTGGGTGGATGGAATCACTTTTGGATCTTTGTTTGGAGGACGGGCTGGTTTATGACTGAAAAACGGTTTACACACGACTTACAACTGTTGACGTTCGAATACTTCCGGAACAAGTGCTTCACTGACGCATTTTGTTCGAACCACAACGCTGTAAATGCTTCTCCCACGTACTACAAATACAAATAATCGCCAACAGAACCTAAACACCTAACCTAATCTATGCCTATATATGCACAATATGCTAATATATTATAATATTAATTTATATTTGAGAACATTCCCGTTTTGAATGAACAGCATGTTAAAATTTATGAATGCGTCTGTGGGGTTGACCGCTGGATGTAATGGACTTGAGTTGAGGATGGATTGGGGCTTCAGTTTGTTGACGATTGAACAGCTAATCTTGTACATAAAAGTTTAGTTTTGTATTATGAACACTCAAAATATTATAAAAGTGGGATTAAAGAAAATACGTGATATACTTAAAGTTTTTTCATATATAATATTTTGTGTATAACATGAAATTGTAAAGTTTTGTTTCATAATTTATAAATATCATCAATATTTAAAAAGAAATCAACGTTTGTATTTTTTCATTATATAGCTAATAAAACAATAAGCTCACACAAATAACTTTTTTTATTGTAAATGTTAGTTTCATGTTAATATGAAGTTAGTCATGGACGAACACTTGTCTGTAAATTACCAATGATCATTTGTACATCAACCTCCGAGTTTGTGCCTAATAGAAACCAGAGGAACACCTCGTGACCAAATAAATGTTTAAACTACACAAAGTAGATTAAGGGCGTCTCGCTGTCGTCTCCATCAGGTGATATGTGACCTGGGCAGCACAGTCCGGGACAAGGAAGGAGGGTGGACGCTGGTACTGAACCACTCCACGGCGGATAACGTGACCCTTCACATGACCCAGAGCGGATATATCCAAGGCGGCGGGGTTCCCCAGAGCACCTCTTACTTCATCGGTAGGTGTTCCATCACTCACTCACGCCCATATAATTATTAGTATTATTATTTACTATATTAATATATATTTATAATATATAAATATTATTGAAAATAATTATTGTAATTATTAAATTATAATAATTACCTGTTCACGCTTATCACTATAATTCCTACAACAGGCTATTAGTTCGAAAATAATAATTTTTCACAGGATACACAGGATATGATACTTACTCCTTATACTAGAACTCTAGGAAATCTTTAACTAGAGAGCACAATTCAAAGAAATATCCGAATTAGTAACTGGGCGTCCACAATGCAAGTCGAGTTGATAGCAATACTGGTAGCACTCGAAATTATTGACAACACTGAAGTAGACAGCTTAATTATTTCTGACTCCCTTTCCTCACTACGAGCAATAAACAGTTTGCAATCAAGTAATAACGTGCTTGTCTTGGAAGCTAGACATAGATATATAAGAATACTTAGCAAGAGGGTAAATATAAAAATGTTGTGGATTCCTTCTCACATTGGCATGCAGAAACATGACAAAGTTGACGCCCTTGCTAAGGCTGCAGTAAATAAAGACAGTATTGAACGGAATCTTGAGTTATCAAATAGGTCCCTTAAAAGTGTCATTAGACGAGAACTCCTGGATGAATTTGAAGAAAGTAGAACAGTGCAAACTGGAACTAGCAGGTCCATTGTTCATCACAATGAAATGTGTGAAGTAAAACATGTGTATGGGGCAAGTAACAAAGTCAGTAGACTAACAGATGTTGTCACAGCTCGTATAAGACTTGGCTACAAGTATCTCTGGCAGTTCGGCTTGTATAGGGATCTAGATGAAGTAAAGTGTAAAGTGTGTGGACATAGGCAGGGACACACACTCGAACACTATATCTTGGATTGTAGTAAAATTGAGTCATTTAGAGATAAATCTAAGCTCACTCTGTATGATATGGCAACCTATCTTATTACCATGGATAAATTACCTGAAATCCTTGCACTGTATCCATATTTCGCTTCCAGTAGATCAACGACATGAGATTCAGAAACAAGTAGTGTATTGTGAAGACTAATAATTAACAGAAGCTCCCCTATGACTCTGTAATATCTCCTTTGGTCAAACTATTATGTATTAGCGATAAGACCTATCATTAATGTATGATGACTTACTGTAAATATGTAGCTCTTGTAATAGCACTTTCTCTGTAACTAGCTGACATTGTATCTATCAGGTGTGAAGGATTGAAGAAATTGTTTATGTAATAATCTAAGATGAGGTCTGATAAAGACCTTTTGTGCCCTCTGTAATGCTTTTGCGCTACCGCTCACAGGATGAGTATGGGGTGCACAATAGACTAGCTGCCTTCGGCGGCAACAATCAACAAAATCCGTGAAGAAACCTATCTAGTTTTTTCTTGAAGATGCCACAGTTGTTCCGGCAATATTTCTTATGCTCGCTGGGTTGCAACCCGTTCTCGCACTTTCGTACACTCAATATTGACTTATTAAATAAGTGCATATGTGACATACTAATTTATTGTGAATATTTTAGTTTACCTTGAAAAGCTTCTTAAAAAACACCGACCTTACCTAACCTTCTTAGTATGTTAAGATAAGCATCTTATTGCTTCGTAATTACAATTATTACTTAACCTATACCTATAATAGGTTAAGTAATAATTGTAATTAAGAAGCAATAAGATGCTTATCTTAACATACTAAGAAGGTTAGGTAAGGTCGGTGTTTTCTATGAAGCTTTTCAAGGTAAACTAAAATATTCACAATAAATTAGTATATCACATATGCACTTATTTAATAAGTCAATATTGACTGTACGAAAGTGCGAGAACGGGTTGCGAAGGGAGGATGTTGAACTACTGCGGACCTCTGATGTTATACAGTGTTCTCTGATTGTGCCTATGACACCCCTGCTCTTCACTGGTTCTATTCTGTATTTTCTTCCATATCGTTCACTCCAGTATGTTGTTATTTTACTGTGTAGATTTTGTACTTGTCCCTCCAGTATTTTCCATGTGTATATTATTTGGTATCTCTTTCGTCTCATTTCTAATGAGTTCATTCGGAGTTTTGAGACGATCCCAATAATTTAAGTGCTTTGTCGCGTCTATGTGTGCCGTATATGTTGTCTGTATTCCCTCTATTTCAGCAATTTCTCCTGCTCTGAAGGGGGAAGTGAGTACTGAGCAGTACTCGAGACGAGACAGCATAAGTGATTTGAAGAGTACAACCATTGTGATGGGATCTCTGGGATTGAAGGTTCTCGTAATCCATCCTATCATTTTTCTGGCTGGCGCAATACTTGCTTGGTTATGCTCCCTAAACGTTAGGTCGTCAGACATCATTATTCCCAAATCCTTGACATGCTGCTTTCCTACTATGGGCAGATTCGATTGTGTTTTGTACCCTGTATTATGTTTAAGATCCTCATTTTTGCCGTACCTAATTACCTGGAATTTATAACGGTTAAATATTATGTTATTTTCAGCTGCCCACCGAAAACTTTAGGTAATTTTTCATGCTGATTTTTGTGTCATCTTCAAAGGATGATACGAAGCTGTGACGTGTATTTTTATCTATATCTGATGTGAGAATAGGGAAAAGCAGTGGTGTAAGGACTGTACCCTGAGGTTCAAAGCTTTTAACTTCGCATGGACTCAATTTGATATGGTTGACTGTAACTCTTTGTGTTCTTTTCGACAAAAAAAAATGAGTATCCAGTGTGACGGGTTGTGGTATCGCAGCTATACTGAACCAAGATGGTATGGCTCTCCCTCACACAAATAACAAAAAATGCTGCTATTGGCCTTGCAGTGTGTAAGTCGCAGGTGGAAACAAATGAAAATCATCAAATAAATAATTAAAAAAATTTACTGAAATAGTAATGAACAAAAATGACACATGACAATACTTGGCTATCATGTAATGCAAAGGTGAACAAGTTAGTATGACCTTAAATGCAAAAATAAACTATAAGCAATGAATAAAAGCATAAAGATATACTGGTGTACTGAAGACAGCTACCATACCACCATGGCATCAGTCACACGACGTTGGCTGAAGGCGGACGACGGGTGAGAGACACGACGGTGATCCTAGAGCACTAAGGGAGAGACTGGCTCTCCAGGAGGGCAGCGCTTTTATATAGTCCGGCGTTGATGACTTACCCAGTGTCAACGTAAGGTGGACATCTGGTCAACTAGCAAACTGCTCGTTTGTGGCTGGCGGTACCTTTGTGTTGAGCTGCACCACTGCCAGCTGAAGGCGGCTAACTGCTTGTTTGTGGGGGCAAACTACCGGTTAGCAGTGGCACCCGGCTTGCCTCTTTAGTCATACGAGGCCGTGCCAGGCCCTGGGGGGTATGGAGAGGTGGCAGGACTGATGACTCTTCTGGGCTGGTGTAGATGTATACTTCCAGTGCAGAGCCATTGAAGGTGAAGGGAAAAGGCAGTTCCACTGCTATGCAGGGGATTCACGTGACAAGTGAATAACCCCTCTTGCTTGATCATTGTTTTAGGATGCTCGACAGATCACTGGAACATTATCTAACACAGTGCACAGTTACAAACTCATTAAGATTTCAAGTTAGATTCAACAGAGCAGAAGAAGTTGTTAAACACATATGGCAAAATCTTACTGAAGCGACCATACGAGTCATAAATACTCATACTCTGCCCAAGTAAAACAGAAACAAGCAACACTTAGTGGGCCAGCCAGAGGCTTAGGGCCCGCATAGGAATATCCCTGCAAAAAAAAAATTGTTTTAGGTCTATTCCGAGTATTGATGGTAGTCTGCTCTTCAATGAGCTTGTGAAGTGAGTATGTGGTATCTGAGATCGTAATATCCCTGATTACGTCTTCATTGTTTGTAAAGATCAGATCAAGAACATTTTCGTTCCTGGTTGGCTCTGATATTTGCTGGTTAAGTGAAAATTTGTCACAGAATCTAAGTAGTTCTCTAATCTGTGGTTGGTTATATCCAGATAGATTTCTTGGTATAATATTATTGTTTGCTATTCTTCATCTTATACTAGGCAGGTTGAAGTCACCTAGGAAGATAATATCAGGTATTGGGCTTGCCAAATTCTAAAGATTATTCTCTTTTTTGTTTATTTGTTCTGTGAATTTCTCAGCCGTTGCATCTGGCGGTTTGTATATTAGAATAATATAGATTTATTTTCTCTATTTTTACTCCCAGTACCTCTACTACCTCATTTGTAGAGTTAAGGAGCTCCGAGCTCCTATCAACAACACTATCAACTTTGACTACATCAGAACAGAAATATCGACTCTTATACTAAAATTTTAATAAGACTTCACCCACAGTGGAATGCCTCGGCACTCCTGGAATTTCAAGGTGCCTTTGAGACAACCTACTTGCATATTTTGCAATATTTGTGATTTATAGATCATCCATCGAGCGGAGCAAGGAAGTGTTCACTGTCATTATACTAATAGACACACGTTGTCAAACATTTATGTTCTGATAAAAAAAAACTGAGGAGACTACCTACCTGTTGACTGTCTGTTGATTTCGTAGATCAACGTCGCCTCGGCCCGGTCTCTGATCAGGCCTCCTGGTTGCTAGTGTGATCATCTAGGTTGTTAGATGTGGCTGCTCACAGCCTAGTTCATCAGGTATTCTTTGAAGGTACTTGTCGAGTTTACTTTTGAAAACTGTGAGAGGTCGGCCAGTTATACCCCTTATCTGGAGGGGAAGTGTTGAAAAGTCTTGGAAATCTTGAATCTTGAAAAGCTGCTATTAGGACAATATCTAGCTTTGGCCCCAGACATCACTCGGTACCCTTACTCAAATCTCTGAATATGTTAGATATTAAGTCCCTGCACATCCTCTCATGTGTATTTTATATATATAAAACGCTGAACTGTAATGTCAATCCTGACCTTAAAAGCTTCCTAGAAGGTTGTAACAGATCCCATGAGCACCACACCAGAAACAAATACTTATTTGATATTCCAAGAGTACGACTTAGTCAACCTAGAAATGCCTTACAAATCAAGGGACCCAGAATGTGGAATGACCTTCCCAATTATGTTAAAGACTGTACCTCTCCCAACCAGTTTAAGATAAAAACCAAGTACTACCTAATTAACTCAATATAACCTACCTCACCCCCAAAATGTCAACCCATGTCTTCTATTTTAACAATGCTGTTTGTTGACCAAATTGTATTTTTGTTTTTTTTCTGCCATGTTCCCCCCCCCCCCTTTTTCCATTTTTTTCTTATTTTTTCTCAACAAAATTTATACTTTAATCTCAATTAGTATTAAGTTTTAGTCTTATGTGTTTTTCCTGCCTGAAACACTTTGTGTAATAGTAGCTTTAGGCATTATATGTACTAGCTCTATCTATAAATCCATCAACTTTTGTATCTTACCTTGTATGACTGTACTTTACCTGAATAAATATTTGTATTTGAATTTGTATTTTGTATTTGGGGCTTTGATGTTGATTGAGTTCTTTCTCATCGGAACTTTTGCACCTCTGCTTTTCAGTGGACTATTCTGCACATCCTACCATGCATTCTGGTCTTATGTGGTGTTATTTCTGAGTACAAATTTGGAACCAGTCCTAATATTTTCCAAGTATAAATTATTATGTATCCCTCCCGTCAGCTCTTTAGGGAAAACAGATTTAAAATTGTTAGGCTGTCCCAATAATTTAGATGTTTTATTGAGTGGATTCTAGTGGTAAAAGATCTTTGCATGCTCACCACGTCAACAATATCTCCAGCTTTGAATGGAGTTGTTAGTGCAACAATATTCCACTCTAAAGAGCACTAATGTCTTAAAAAGTATCATTTGTGTGGCATCTCTTGTTTGGAAGACCCTTATTATCTAACCTGTCATTTTTCTTGCAGTTGTGACAGCAACTTTGCTGTGTTCTTTAAAAGTAAGGTCTTGCGACATAATTACTCCCAAATCTTTTACACTGCTTTTTCTTCCAAGACTTGATTAACATCAAATTGGAGGTTTGTTGTGTCCTCTATACTGTCTACTCTCATGAAAATTCTTGTGCCATCTGCAAAGGATGATACAGAAATATAGTTGTATCCTTGCGTGTCTAATATGAAGATGAGGAAAAGTACCGGAGCACGCATTGTACCTTATGGGACTGAGCTTTTCACAATGGATGATTCAGATTTTACTTTCTCGACTATTACACTCTGGGTTCTGTTTGTTTGGAAGTTAAAGATCCATCTCCCTACTTTGCCAATAATTCCTTTTTGAGGGCATTGTTTTCTCAATAACACCATGGTCACATTTGTTGAAAGCTTTTGCGAAATCTGTTTATATTAAATTAGCGTTTTTTTTTTTTGTCTTCCTTGGCATCTAAGGCCATGTCATAGCGTCTAGCAATTGTGAGAGGCTGGAGCGCCCTGTTCTGAGCCCATGTTGCCCCAGGGTTATGTAGACACTGTGATTACATGTGTTTTGTGATCTTACTTCTCAGCACAATCTTAGAGTTTTTATGATGTGTGATGTTAGACCGACTGGTCTATAATTTTTTGCACCAGCTTTACTACTACTTTGTGAAGTGGTACAATCTCCACTATGCCAGGGATGACACCAGTATCGAGGCTCCGTCTCCAACAGATGTTTAGGGCCTGTGATAGTGATTTTATGCAATTTTTGATGAATATAGAATAGGAGGGAAATATAATTAATTTAAAATGCTTTTGAATTAGACTAAAATTTAAATTTTAAATTTTGAATTAAACTACTCTTAACAAGCTGACAGTCTTAAGTTTAGTGGATGTGTGAAGTTAATGACTGGGTTCACTCCACAGGTCTCTGGGCCCTCACAGCACTCAACTGGGACGGTAGCAAGCAGCGACCTCTAGTTATGAAGGTAACTTGCACCAAAAGTTAGTGACATCATCACAGTTGTTCTAAGTTTTAAACATAATATGTGGGTGTGTTGTGTGTATATATACAGTATATAATATATATATATATATATATATATATATATATATATATATATATATATATATATTTTTTATGTATATATATATATATATATATATATATATGCGAACAATAGTTATATATATATAGTTATATATATAGTTATATATATATAGTTATATATAATATATATATATATATATATATATATATATATATATATATTTATATATATATATATATATATATATATATATATATATATATATATATATATATATATATTATAGAAAATAAGGCATAGCTTTCTTTGTCTACTTCCCTTCGTTTCAGCAGGGTACAGTAGGGAATCGACACTGTTGTTTGGGGAACATGAAGTTGTTTCCGCAGAAGGTGTCCAGCAGGGAGACCCACTTGCCCCTTTCTTTTTCTGCATGGCAGCTAAGGAGATCACAAACAGGTTGTCCAGCGAATTCAACATCTGGTTCCTGGACGATGGCACGCTGGCAGGGACACAGGAATCCCTGCTAGGAGATTTTCAGCTACTGAAATCGAAGGGAGAGGAACTAGGTCTTACACTAAACCCATCAAAGTGTGAAATTATATCATCCAGCCAACCAATCATAGATGCAGTACGAATCTTATTGCCAGGAGCCCCAGTGATCGCTCCCACTAACAGTGTGCTGCTAGGGGCACCTCTGGGCTCGAGCGCCATTGAGGTAGTTCTCGAAGAAAAGTTGAACGACCTGAGGAGGATGGAGGGAAGAATAAGGGCTTTGGATGCTCACGGTGCTTTGTACCTTCTCACAAGGTGCCTGGTTAATGAAAGGGTGTGCAGGAGCACTTTGCTTGCCACTCTCCATAGTGTATAGTAGGTCACTGGAAACGGGAGACCTACCAGAAATATGGAAGACTGCTAATGTAGTACCAATATACAAAAAGGGTGACAGACAAGAGGCACTGAATTACAGGCCAGTGTCCTTAACTTGCATTGAAGTTAAGATGAAGCAGTCCAGTGGATTGCTTCAAGAATTTGTAATCATCTTACATCTTGGGTTTTTATCTATTATACAAATGTGTTTATTCAACATTTCTCTTGTTAGGGTGATGTCATGGGCTTGTCTCATGTGATTCCTGGGGGCACCGGGTTGAAGATGATATGTCAAACGCCTCGTCAGCTTGGTCGACGTCATACTTATGTACTTAGATTGAAAGTTACATCCTTCATGGGGGCAGGTGTATATGTATACAATGTTTGACTCTTGTAAAGGGTTTTCCGTCGGCTTCGGGCTGTTTTTGATAAGGAGGTCGGTAGTCTTCTTTGTTTTATAGAATATGATCAGGTCTATGTTTTGGTTAGGAGTAATACTTTTTATTCCTTTACGGATTATTTCTTCCATTATTCTTTCTCCTTTATGTTCACTGTGCATAGTTGATTTGTAATATAATTTTATTGGAGGTGTTGTGGTTTCTGTTCTGGGTTCAGGATTGTACCATCGGTCCAGGTGTCTTCTTATAGCAGCGTTTATTTCCGTGTTGCTATATCCATTGTTCACCAATACCTGAGTTATTCTTTCAAACTCTCTACTCCCGTTGCTCCATTCAGAGCAGTGGGTAAACGCTCGACGAATATAAGCATTGAGAACACTGGCTTTGTATCTTTGGGGGCACTCACTTCTACCGTTAAGACATAATCTATGTTGGTAGGCTTAGTGTATACGCTGGTGCTTAAAGAGGTTCCTGTTTTTGTTATTAGTACATCCAAGAATGGCAGACTGTTATTTTCACTATTTTCATATGTAAATCGGAGTACTGACTCTCTCTAGATGGCTTTTTAGATCAATTAGTTCGTCTGAGTCTTGTACTATGACGAATATGTCATCTACATAACGGCAATATACAGTTGCTTTTTGTCTGCTACTGAAGACTCTGTCTTCGATGGTTCCCATATAAAAATTAGCAAATAACACTCCTAAGGGGGAGCCCATTGCTACTCCGTCTATTTGTAGATACATGTCCACTTGTGGACTGATGAAAAGAGCTTCCTTTGTACATACCTCGAGAAGACTCTTCAAGTGTGGCTCGGGTATGTCTAATTTGGGGGTGCTCTCGTCTCTGTATACTCTGTCCAGTATCATTTCTATGGTTGTGTCGACTGGGACGTTGGTAAATAGGGATTCGACGTCCAGGGCAATGATTCCATCAGGCTGAGTAGTTTTGATTAATTCCAGGAAATCTGCTGATGATTGTAGACTATAGTTGCTTGGAGTGTATGGAGTTAGGAGTTCGTTAAGACTTTTTGCCAGGTGAGAGGTTGGAGTTGGTATTTGGCTGATTATTGGGCGTAGTGGGTTACCTGGTTTGTGCTTCTTAACATTGCCATAGGCATATCCTAAGCCATAGTCGCCTTGGAGTTTAGTGAAATGCACACTACCTTTCTTTGCGTTGATTGCAGTAATAGTTTTGTTCACTTTGCGTTTAAGGTCTTCCACAGGGTTCCTCGTGATTCGTTGAAATTTGGTGTCATCACTAAAGATGTCACTAATTTTGTTCATGTATTCTTGGGTAGGAATCAACACATATGCTGCTGTCTTGTCGACTTTTCTTATTGTTACGTCTTCCAGATTTTTTAGTTGTTTTGCTGCTTCTTTGAGTCGTGGGCTTAAGATTGTTGATGAGTATGTGCCTGGGTTTTTTTTTCCCCGCTTCTGTTAATAGTTCAGCCTGAAGTGTGTCAGTAGTGATGACTTTTTTGTCTTCTAACTTGTGGATGTAGAGGGATAGAAGCCGTAAACCAGAAAATAGTTAATACGGAATATGCTGTCACATTCAATGAGGCACGTATAAAAGAAAACCTTCTGCCAGTATACACAAGTATATATATATATATATATATATATATATATATATATATATATATATATATATATATATATATATATATATATATATATATATATCCGACAAACCAAGGGAATTAATCATACTCTATAATCAGTAACAGTTTTTTTTTCATTTAAGTAGGTAAGCTTAAATATAATAAATTACATATAAAATACATCTCTTTTTGGTTAGAAAAGTATGTTTTACAGTTACACAAAAAAAAAAATTGGGGGTATATATATCCAGGTACCAACATGGTGGTGGTGGTGTGTGTCCCCGGCATGATTCATGACAACTGTGTTGATATGAAGGTAAATAGTGCGTGGATCCCAGGGCGACCCGGCGGGCCTGGACCACCCTCGTGTGGGTCATCTTCACCAATTATTGGCGGCGGCAACTTTATAATTCATTCACTTGCCAGACTGTTTCAACACCAGTAGCTTGTGTCGACACTAGTCACGAGTATTAAGACTGTCGAAACACAGCTCAATAGATTGCCGACGCTGCGTACATCTCAATAGACTGTCGACATTAATTGTAACTCAGTACACTGTCGACTCTACGTATACCACAAAAAGACTGTCAACACTAGTTACAACGCATTATATTGTCGACGTTACATGCACCAAGATAGACCGTCGACGTTGTCCTCTTGAGTACCCTAGCACGCACAAGTCTCTATAGTCACTTGTTTTCCCCAATACAGAAAACCCGCGCTTTCTGAAACCACGTATTCTAATTTATTTATTTATTTATTTATTTATATACAAGAAGGTACATTAGGTTTATGAGAGTACATAGCATGATGTTTACATTTTTATAAAGCCACTACTACGCACAGCGTTTCTGGCTAATCAAATATAATACAGGTAGCATGATTAATTCAGGAACAAAAAAAAAATTAATAACTATTATTTCAAGAAAGCAAGAGAGAGATTATTAATTAATTATTATTACTTGTCAATTACTAAACAGCGCTCTGCCCGAAACGCTATGCATGTTAGTGGCTTTGCATGAATGTAAAAATACCAGTCTTATTTAATCACACCAACCCATTGTACCTTCTTGAAAATAAATTATTATTATTATTATTAATGACAATTGTTATGCATGGACATGTTCTGGCATAATAACTCGAAGGACAAAATGACAGTAGGTATTTGTTGACCAGACCACACCCTAGAAGGTGAAGGGACGACGACGTTTCGGTCCGTCCTGGACCATTCTCAAGTCAATCGACTTGAGAATGATCGTGACCGTGACCTGGGTGTTAGTCAGCTGTCACGGGCTGCTTCCTGGGGGTGGAGGCCTGGTCGAGGACCGGGCCGCGGGGACACTAAAAGCCCCGAAATCATCTCAAGATATGATATGCTCAAGATAACATTCTTCAGCCACGTTATTGCGACTCATCGCCTAACAGTAGGTAGATTATCTTCATTTTACAACTGTGAAAATAATTATTATAATTATTAAATTATAATAATTACCTGTTCACGCTTATCACTATAATTCCTACAACAGGCTATTAGTTCGAAAATAATAATTTTTCACAGGATACACAGGATATGATACTTACTCCTTATACTAGAACTCTAGGAAATCTTTAACTATAGAGCACAATTCAAAGGAATATACGAATTAGTAACTGGGCGTCCACAATGCAAGCCGAGTTGGTAGCAATACTGGTAGCACAGTAATTATTGACAACACTGAAGTAGACAGCGTAATTATTTCTGACTCCCTTTCCTCACTACGAGCAATAAACAGTTTGCAATCAAGTAATAACGTGCTTGTCTTGGAAGCTAGACGTAGATATATAAGAATACTTAGCAAGAGGGTAAATATAAAAATGTTGTGGATTCCTTCTCACATTGGCCTGCAGGAACATGACAAAGTTGACGCCCTTGCTAAGGCTGCAGTAAATAAAGACAGTATTGAACGGAATCTTGAGTTATCAAATAGGTCCCTTAAAAGTGTCATTAGACGAGAACTCCTGGATGAATTTGAAGAAAGTAGAACAGTGCAAACTGGAACTAGCAGGTCCATTGTTCATCACAATGAAATGTGTGAAGTAAAACATGTGTATGGGGCAAGTAACAAAGTCAGTAGACTAACAGATGTTGTCACAGCTCGTATAAGACTTGGCTACAAGTATCTCTGGCAGTTCGGTTTGTATAGGGATCTAGATGAAGTAAAGTGTAAAGTGTGTGGACAGACAGGGACACACACTCGAACACTATATCTTGGATTGTAGTAAAAATTGAGCCATTTAGAGATAAATTTAAGCTCATGCTGTATGATATGGCAACCTATCTTATTATCAAGGATAAAATACCTAAAATCCTTGCGCTGTATCCATATTTCGCTTCCAGTAGATAAACGACATATGAGATTAAGAAACAAATAGTGTATTGTGAAGACTAATAATAAACAGAAGCTCCCCTATGACTGTAATATCTCCATTGGTCAAACTATTATGTATTATCGATAAATCTACCATAAATGTATAATGACTTACTGTAAATATATAGCTCTTGAAATAGCACTTTCTCTGTAACTAGCTGACATTGTAACTATAAGGTGTGAAGGATAGATGAAATTGTTTATGTAATAATCTAAGATGAGGTCTCATAGAGATCTTTTGTGCCATCTATAATGCTTTTTGCGCTACCGCTCACAGGATGAGTATGGGGTGCACAATAAGATAGCCATTGCACTAGACTAGCCAATCAAAAATCAAAGAGATGATCTGCTGCAATTCCCCCTTACTGTACTCTGATGGCAAACACACACCCTAGCCCTGTAGTCAAATATACACTGAACTTCCTTTGCCTATTGAGACTTTTTCTGAGGGTGCCCTAGGGCGCCTCCCCTTTACTCTCAGAACCAATAGAGAAGGTGGGTGTCTGAACTGGCCCTTCTTCCACTTTCGTGAGTTGGCCGGGCTAGGCACACAAGTATATAATGGTTGACTAATGACTGTCGCCTTATGGGACATGGGACGTCGCTACATGGACATTTATTTCTGAGTAGCTAAATCTTAAACAACAACGTGCTGTCGCCTGGGCACCCCGCCTCACTGTTGCTTGCTAATGTCACCCGCTACCTCCTCCCCCATCGCTTGTGTGGACGAGTCACACACAAGACCATTACACCTTCACATCCTACCATCTTGCCATAGACATTATACCTCACCTCTCCGTGGGCCTCACTAGACAAGACAATTCTAAACCACACGTCCTGCTCATGAGCACCTACACATCCCTGAGTGTTCTTCAGAACTGTTCTTCGCTGTTCAATAGAGGCTTTCTATCCTTTTGTTACAGTCTCAATAGACTGTGGATACTAGTCACACCTCAACAGACTGCTGGCAAGTATAGCACCTTAATACATTGTCGATATTATAGCACCTTAATAAACTGTCAATGCAACACGCATTTTAATAGACTGTTTTGATATTTACGGCTTCGGCGGGTAGGCGGTTCCTTGGGTTATTAAGTCTGTGGGTGAAAAAGCATCTTCTGTTCTCGGTCCTACATTGTGGCTTGTTGAGCTTGAAACCATTGCTCCTTGTTTGTGTTATATCTGACCTTTTGAAGAAATTGTGCGGATCAACATCCTCTAAAATGGCGATAGACACATTTAAAAGTGGCGCCAAGGCAGCAGTAAGAGTGCGCATGCGTGTGGCCTGCATTAACAGAGTGAGGGTCTTGCAAAAATGACTGGAGGTCAGTGTTAAATGTTGAAGTACAGCACAGGACCCACTAAACTAATATATGGATGCAGGAAAGAATATTATACACATGAATAACACTGGAACGGTTATGGGGAACACGACTCCGCCTCCACGGTCTGTGTGAGAGAGGGGCGATTAAATTAAGCGGGACATTGAGGATGGGAAGACTGGTCGTGTTCCTGGACATATGTAAAGGTCAGTCCACCTGATAGACTGCGTGTTTACCTGAGAATTATACCTAAGTATGTTGTGTTTATCATACAGTGATGCAAGGTGTTAAATAGCGTAGGATGAAACAGATGCGGAGAGATTATTTAGGCAATGCACAATTTGAAGACGGCCATGTAATGTGGATATAAGTGACTAAAATGTACATTGAAAAGGTTACTTCCCCTGCTATGTCAACTTCCCCTACCATGTCCACGCCCCCCTGTCATCTACATCCACTCCCCGAAATACCATTTACGTCCACTTCCCCCAGCCATTTACATCCACTTTTCCTCCTCCTACCATTTACGTCCACTTCCCCTATCATCTATCTATATATATAGGTTTAATTACCCCCTGCCATATACGTTTACTACCTCCCTGCTAGCTATATCCACCTATCAGTGGGGGAGCCGGTCGGCCGAGCGGACAGCACGCTGGACTTGTGATCCTGTGGTCCTGGGTTCGATCCCAGGCGCCGGCGAAAAACAATGGGCAGAGTTTCTTTCACCCTATGCCCCTGTTACCTAGCAGTAAAATAGGTACCTGGGTGTTAGTCAGCTGTCACGGGCTGCTTCCTGGGGGTGGAGGCCTGGTCGAGGACCGGGCCGCGGGGACACTTAAAAAGCCCCGAAATCATCTCAAGATAACCTAAATCCACTGCCCCTCTACTTCTACCTCTGGTCCCTGTCAGCCATTAACACCCCCTTCTTTGCTGCCGTCTAAGTTCACTTTCTCCCTGCCATCTACGTCCACTTTCTCCCTGCCGCCTATGTACACTTCCTCCCTGACAACATATTCTCTGCCCAGATCATGATGAAGGACATGAGTGACAATACCCTGCACGCCACCTACGGCAGACTGGTGGTCAACCCAAACAACTATACCCTCTCCAGCCTCGGCACCTATCATGGCAATGCAGGTGAGTGGCAGGGTTACTTATGCCTCTCACTCTAATGATGTAGCCTACTGTATCTCTAGCCTAATGTTGTAACTTTCTATAGCTGTAGTGTAATGATGTAGCCTTTTATAGCAGGACAACCATTCTAGAACATACTGTTGAAGGGCCTCTTTGAGCCCAGTTGCCAAGGGTCAGGTGATGCTGGGACTAAAATAACGCATAGCTAGGGGTGGTAGCCAGCGTTGCTGGGACTGCGCGGTTACCAGAACTAAAAGGAAACATTACTAAGAGCAGTATCTGCCTGGCTATGACCGCATGCACTTGTGTGCACTAAATCTTGATGGCTATGCCCACATACCAACCAAACGGCTTTATCTTGAAGATAAATCCGGTTGATTTACAAACAAAATCCAAATCCCATGGTCCCAGTGGACATTCCTCCTAATGGTTTGGTATTTGATTAGGAGACCTGAGATATCACCCTCATACAACTATTAGTATTATGGCTTATTATTATTATTACTGTGCAGGTGATCATCTGACTGGAAGTGTTGGCAACACGTTTTGTCCTGTTCGTGACCCGAGTAACATGGACCCCTGTTGGTGGGGTGACCCCTCCACCCCTAACAGTGTAAGTACAGTATTGCCCAGGGTCATGGACCCCTGTTGGTGGGATGACCCCTCCACCCCTAACAGTGTAAGTACAGTATTGTCCAGGGTCATGTTCCCCTGTTGGTGGGGCGACCCCTCCACCCCTAACAGTGTATACTACCTCTTGGATCAAACATGTTATATGGGATTTTTAAATATAAATACCAGAGAAGCAAGTAAACACACATGAAGTCAAGGGTCTTAACAATCATTACTCAAGAGTTCGCCTGCTTTCTATAATAGCACCAATCTCACGTTGATTCGACCCTTTTGCAACTGAATATTTCATGTGACACGGGTCCCTAATTTTAGCCCCCCATCTCTTGTAGATACACTTAGTATTTATAATGAGGGGAACGAATGTTAAACAAGAGTTTAGATGTATTGTAAGAGTTCTCATGTTACGTAAAGTATGGAGACAATAAACACAGACACTTAGAGAATATATATATATTTGGTCAAGTATACAGAAGTATGCAGGTGATCCTTTGGCGAGCAATGGTGTTAGTTGAGCGCACTGAGAGTGGGTACAGTATCTCGCAAGTGTCTGTTCTAGACCACACTTGAAAGTAGACTAGTTATTATTCGTTGTTGTTGTTGTTATAGATTCAGCTACTCGGAACAAGTTCCAAGTAGCACGGGCCATGGTGAGCCCGTAACTTACCTGGCACAGGAGCGGGGCAAGTAGCACGGGCTATGGTGAGCCCGTAGTGGACTTACCTGGCTTAGGAGCGGTGCTGTGTGGTTATTATTCGATTGATTGATTGATAAAGATTAAGCCACCCAAAAGGTGGCACGGGCATGAATAGCCCGTAAGTGGTGGCCATTTTGAGCCATCATGTGGAGATCTGTGGAGGCGCGACTGCACCCTGCGTGACGGGAGATGTCTCCCGGACCAAATGGTGGTTATTATTCGCTACTCTGCTGCTTATACGCTCGGGCAACACCTCGCCGTTCTCCAAGGGTTGGCAGGAATATTAACTGGAAGTAGGGAAAGGTTTGAGTTCAATAATTAGTGCTAAGACGATCTTGGCTTCTCTCATTAGGCTAATGCGTTTGGAGGAGTATATTATTGGGATAATCTACTCGCTACAATATCATCACTCACACAATCCTAAATTTGTCTCTGCCTTATTACACCAACTGCAGCTGTTTCTAATCACTGGCTGACAATTAACATGAAACGAGTACTTTTTTTTTTTGTGGGGGGGGACGGAATTTCCACTATATGTCAGTGAGTACAATTTCCTTAAAATTATTATTATTATTATTTTGAGATATATATACAAGAGTTGTTACATTCTTGTACATACTGTATATGTATATGTACTGTATACATTATACTGTACTAGCCCTCAAATTTGTTAGCCATACGAGTCCTTGACCTCACCACCAACACTAACATCTCATCACAAGGGTCAACATTTTGCACTTTGGCTTATTATCATGGGTCACTCTTATTTTTAGTTACATATTTTCTAAATGTTCTAGTTATACTAACCGTTGTGTATTTTGCCTACATACCCACTTTCAGTTCTTCATTAGAATCACACAGTAATTTCTCACTCAACATTATCAATGGACCTTACACTCTTAGGGGACTAATTAGAGGACTAATGTTAGTCCTATTAGGGGGACTAATGTTTCCTGAACAGTCACTGTCATGTGTATATATTGTACACTGTCATCCCTGTCACGGGCCATATATTTTTATTTTTGTTTATTTATCTATATACAAGAAGGTAAATTTGGCTGTGAAAGTACATACATTGGTGATTAAATTGTAGGTTCTTTCAAAGCCACTAACATGCATAGCGTTTCAGGCAGGTCCTTAAGTTAACCAATAAATGTAATATTAGGTATTTTGTAACAGAATTTGAATTTACATAATAACTTAATCAGTATAAATTGTTATAGTAAATTATAGTGATGAAGTTGGATTTCTATAGTAATATACTGGGTGAGAGAGTAGCACAATATATATACTGAGTGAGTTAGCTGCACAAGGTGGGATACTAAGGAAATGAAAGTAGGTACCACGTTGTTCTACTTTTGAAAATATAGGTTGGACAGTTTGTTAATAATTCGTTAAGAAATGAGTTCCGTTCCATATATTGGGTCCTTTTATTTACATGGTATGTTTGTTTAGATTTAGTCTGACTGGGAATATCAGTTATGTTTATTTCTGGTGTGATGCTCAAAGAGTCTGTTACATCGATCTAGCAAGAGTTTTAAAACAGGATTAGAATTTAGGAAAAGGTCTTGTAAGTGTAAATAGCACAAAATAATGAGTGGAATGAGTGAGTGTTTAGCATGTTCAGGGATTTAAAAAGAGGGGCTGTGTTGCCTGACGACAGAATTTGTTAGGTCTGGTAACAGATTTTTGCTGAGTGATGATGGGCTTGAGGTAGTTTGCAGTGAGAATGCCATGCACAAATACCGTATGCTATATAGGGATATGTAAGTGAGTAATATAGCGTAAGAATAGCAGTGCGGGTGGAACATATGAGTTTTGTGAGTATACCAACAATTGGAGACTTTTTTGACTGTGTTGAATATGAGCACTGAAGTTAAGTCCTTTTTTTTATAGGCCAAGAAACTTTCCATCATTTTTACTGCTAATGTTGGCATTGTTTGTCTGAAGGTGTATTTGCTAACAAAATATAGTGTGTCTTTTCCAAGTTTAATGGGAATTTGTTGGTTGACATCCATGAGTTGACTTATTTTAGTTCATTATTTACAATAATGAGCACAACAATACTGAGTGCAATAATTTGGTTATTCCTTTACAGTAGGTTATTATTAACAAATTAAATCTGGTGAAATTTCTCTATGGAACCCTGACTTTTGGATGGTATTGTTTGGAAGTTGTTGACATAAACCTTAACAAAGAATTGTTTGAACTGATTGAAAGTAAAGCTTGCTCCACTTTATTTTCACAACCCAAAATATGTGCAGAAGATAATCAACACTTTGGTCGATGCTTTAATAGTTATAGTTCTCAGAGGATCTGCTTTTAGGAAATCTAGTTATTTGGCACATCATTGTTATAAGTGTTACAGCACCGCAATTGGACTTAACCATGAGACCAACCATGTTTAACAAGATAGGGTTTGGAATTTTTTCCTGTGCTACTACAATGGGTTGTAACAAGGCCTTAGGCCTTATTTGGTTGGACTTGTCTATAGCTTGACATACTTCATACTGACTACAGAGCTTTACCACATCACATTTAATACATGGCAAAATAGAAACAACTGGATTTTCCATAAGTTTTATTATTACCTGGTGTCATCCTATTGGTGCATCGAACCTGGATCTCAGTACCATCTCGATACTAATTGGGACCAAAAAACTAATTCGCTATCTTCCAGGTATGAGATGGAAGTCTATCACAAGGTCTCCACTTATGCATCAATATCTAGTTATGATGTTGCAGTATACCCCATTGTGCATTTCTGTAAAAAAAATTGTGATGAATCAGATAGGGTAATGAGATCGCACTTCTCTGTTCCATTCTGAACTTGTAGTTCTGAGTGCGTGCTCACTGTCTGATTCTCATTTGTCTACTCGAATCTTGTCAAGAAGGCCCGCGAATAGATAAGATTCTGTACGAGATACCTCTGAATCATTTGTAGTCTGAGACGATCACACCTAGGTTACTAGAGTACTTTTCGTTTAATTTTTAATTTATGACCTGGCCACAGTACAGGCAGGATAAAACACAAAATCGTCTGCATCTGTCTGAACCAGTATCAACAGTTTTTTAAGCATTATTTTGCAGTCATTTTGTTCTTACCCTGTCTCGTATTTCTTAAACAATACTTTCGGAGATACCAGAACTCTTAAAAATGTCAATATTTTACAGACACCCCGTTCACATCTGACAAAAATGTATTTAATTCTTGAATACAATTTAGTTCCATTGGAACACCTTTAAGAATAACATTCTTAGTACCTTGTACACAACAATCATTAAATTCTCTACACTGGTAAGCTATTCCGACACAGGTTATGAATAACAATATAAGTATAGATTACAATGAAACAACTACATAAATATGAGCAAATCAAATACTATAATATTTAGGTAATACAAGTATTTAAAGGAGAAAGTACGTGAAATGTTGGCATCATTAGCTGGTAAGCAAGAAATATCTCTTCTGTACCTTATTGTACAGAATACTGTCAACTGTATCAACTCCAGAATCTGGTAACTAAAGTTACCACATTCTGGAGTTGAAAACACATCCATACTAATGGACATTTTAGCTGTGTTAACGAGGCATGTCATGCTCTACAAGAAATATGAGGGTAAAGTATCGCTGCTCTCTCTCTCTCTTGGGGTTTACTCTAGAATAATGACGAAGATGTTTGGACTGAAATCTAATTTTAGTGGTTCATATTCTAAAGGGCAATTTATACACTGTTTCAAAGTTCTCTTGAAAATTGATAAAACATTAAAAGTACTGTATAAGTTGTCTTGACCATACATGCTGATAGCTGAATGACAACTCTAGCAAGGCAAAATAATTCTTACAATACCACTATTATTATGAATCCTAGTTTATAACATTAGTCACATCCAGCATCTACTGTAGTAGTTGCCAGAGAAGTTCAGATACATTTGCTCATTCCTGAGTGGTTACTGCTCTTACAGGGCCTCTTGACGGGTGACAAGCCAACCTGGGGAAGCGTCAGCCTAAAGTCCCTGAACGTATGGGTCCGCTCCCTGGACTGCGATAAAGGTACTGTATATATTGCTAGACTGTGTAAATTATCCAATTGGAGTTAGGATGAGAGCTACGCTCGTGGTGTTCCGTCTTTCCTAAATAATTTTTGTCGTATGACACTCTGAAACTGTTGATGGTTTTGGCGTCCAACACCTCCCACTGAAATTCTTCCAACCCTCTACAGCTCTGTTTGCAGAAGGAAACTTTCATATATTGTAATGACTGGTATATAAAGTTTAGCGTTTGTTGTTAATAATGTAAATGTTTCTCTTAGTTAAAATGCCAGTTTGTTTTATTTGTGATCATTTTTATATTTCATTTGTGTTTGAGAGTATGTAGTATTAGTAAAGAGTATAATTCCACTGGATATTCCCAGGCACACGCACCAGACAATTAGGCCACGACATGGTAAAAAGGACTGCAACTTGGGGTTCGACTGAACCCTCGAGGATTGCAAAGGTTTTCACTGAAGTCGAACAAGGGTTTCACACAATCCTCCTTACAGCTCCTACGGATTTTCTCAGTGATACATCACGTTAGTGTGATTTCTCTGTGCACTGAAAAAGGAGCGTCAGAGGTAGAACATTCCTAGACAAAGTCAGACTGCATGAGGAAGGAAAGGGAACTATCAGAGGAAAGCGCCAAGCCATTACGACTATGTAACACTTGGAAGGGGGTCAGGATAAGGATTTGGGATGGGACGGGGGGAAGGAATGGTGCCCAACCACTTGTGAACGGTCGGGGATCGAACTCCGACCTGCATCTAATCCCCCCCCACACAATCAGGTTTCACACAATCAGGGGGATTTTATGAAACCTTGGCTCGGCTTCATTGGAAGCCTCAGAAATTCTCAAGGGTTTAGTAGAACTCCAGGTTGCAATCCTATTGACCATGTCGTGGCCTAGTTGTCTAGAGAGTGTGTGCCTGGGAATACTCAGCACAGAGGTTCGAATCCTCGTCACGGCTCCTACAGATTTTCTCATTGATACATCACGTTAGTGTGATTTCTCTGTGGATTATTATTATTGTTATTATTATTATTATTATTATTATTATTATTATTGTTTTAGTACTAGCTATCCATCCTGGCAGTCTAGGTTCGAGCCCTTGAGGGGTAATTGAGTGAACTGTTGTACAAATGGTATTTACAGCATTATAGAGTATTTGCAGCACAGCAATGATCAGATATGGCCAGAGTAAGTCTATGGCATGGTATTTCACCAGTCCCACAAATGATCAAAGTTAATTAGCATAGCTCTTCTCCACCTGGGAACATAATTCACAACGCATACTTGTGTCTGTTACTGTGATATCCTCCTACCTGCTACTCAGGGCTGGCGTGTCCACCTCTCAACACGGCCATCAACCTGGCGAACGAGTCATACGTTCCTGTGAGTCGAGCTCCAGGCATCAGCTTCCAGTACATCTGCCCTGGGGACCTCATGATGACCGGAACATTAGGCAACAGCAGCAAATCACCACAAGGACAAGTGAAATGTCTACCCAACACCGCCAATAATCAAACACCAATTTGGGATGTTGTGTTCCCATGTGTCCGTAAGTTGTCTAAAGTGACTTTCCAACGGAAAGGGTGACTAATTTAACGTGTTGAGAATTACTTTCATGAAATATTAATGCATGCACCAGGCTTAGAGATCACTACACAGGAAAATAAAATAAATGTGAGCTCAAGTGTTGTTTTATAACTATGATAAAGTATATTAGAATGTTAAGACAGCAGTGATATTTTGTAATGTATTTAATTCATTGAGTGGTTTCTCTTGGCTCCATCAGTGGTGTGTCCGACTGACTATGTCATGTCTGTGAATGGCTCCACCTGCTACAACTTCTCCAGTGACGAAAAGAGTCACACTGATGCTTTAACATCGTGAGTGCTCATTATATTCTCTTGGTTTTCATTTTTACATAACTTTTTTTTTTAATTCATTCTAATAGACAAATTCTTACTTTTAAAATGACCATTTCTAGTTTTATTATATATTAAAAACAGAAGTGTGGGCAGTAACGGAATTGTCAGCACAGTTGTCTCACAAATGAATGGTCCCAGGTTCAATTCCCAGGTAGGTCAAGTTCGTTTATGGGAGTTTCCTTACATAAATAAGTAAATAAATAAATGTTTATTCAGGTAAGGTACATACATACAAGAGGTTATACAAAAATTGATAGATTTATAGATAGAGCTAGTACATACAATGCCTAAAGCCATTATTACGCAAAGCGTTTCGGGCAGGAAAAACATCATTAAAGACTAAAACTTAATACTAATTGAGGTTAAAATATAAAATGTGTTGAGAACAATTAAAAATAAAAATGAAAATAAAAAAGGGGGAAACATGGCAGAAAAAGCAGCACAAATACAATTAGTCGACAAACAGCATTGTTTAAAAAACAGACATGTGTTGACAATAAAGGAGTGAGGTGGGTTACAGGGAATTTATTAGGTAGTGTTTAGTTTTTATCTTAAACTGGTTGAGAGAGGTACAGTCTTTAACATGGTTGGGAACGTCATTCCACATTCTGGGTCCCTTGATTTGTAGAGCATTTCTAGTTTGATTAAGTCGTACTCTTGGAATATCAAAACTATTTTCTGCGGTTGGAAGAAAACGCGCACAGAGTGGGAGACTTATTTTATTTTTATAATAATAATAATAATAATAAATTATTAAATACAAATAATTAATTAATAATAATAATCATAATAATAAATGATTAATTATAATTGATAATCCTTAAATGAAGAAGCATAATAGCTAATTATAACGAATAAAGATAATAAATTGGATAATTAATTATGGTGACTAATAATGATTAGTGAATAACCATAAATTATTATACAGAAATAATATTAATGGATAGCCGTTATAATGATAATGTATTAAATCAATAACAGTTAATAGTGACATCTCTAATTAGTAATTGAAAGTTGCAGTATTTGAATTTACATTAATTCCAAATCTTGGTATTCTTGGCTTATCACTTTGGGGGTTCCGTCAGAGCACCCCCAATCCCGTGAGGGCCAGCGGCGCGGAACCCCCACCCCCGAAGGGCAAGCGGAAGCTGGCTGCTAAGTAGTAACATGACTTCTCGCTGCCATGGCCGTAAGCGTGCCCGTATGCCCGGAGAGGCCATTAAAAAACAATCAGGTTTCCCTGACTGAAAAAGGTACTATTCCGGGTCTACTAGGCAGATGCTGCTAATTGACGCAAATTGACTAATTGGCAGTTAGCCAAAGATGGACTTTATTTAGCTCAGTATTCACTGTGGCATTTAGAGCAAGGGGATCAGGATTGGAGTAAATGAAGGTTGTGTCGTCAGCAAGAAGAATTGGTTTGAGGTGTTGGGAGGCATTTGGAAGGTCATTAATGTAGAGGAGAAAGAGGAGAGGGCCAAGTATGCTGCCCTGAGGAACACCGATGTTGATGGGTAGGGTGGGAGAAATTGTATTATTCACAGAAACATACTGGAGCCTGTCAGTAAGGTAAGATTTGAGGTATTGAACATCTGATGCCGCTTTTGATGTGGTTACTGTGAGGTAGTTAGTCAACTGTTGTGGGTTGCATCCTAGGAAAGGTCAGTAGTAGTTGGACAAAGGAGGCCTCAATAAGGTTTCCTGTCCCCGACAAAGGGAAACCAATATATTCTTTTATCTACTATGCTCACTTTTAATGTGTTATCACATCCTTCTTGCCAGGTGTAAGAATGAATGATACGTGTCACAATCCCCGCTAAAGTTGACATACACTGTCTAAAGATACGGCATGCATAGCATCACCTGTCATTTCTTATCATTCCCAGCTTCCATACTCACGCCTGTCATATGGTGTCATTCTGACTTGCATAGTAACACCTATCTTTCGTTATCATTATATGGGTACTCTCAAGTATATGCCCTAACCAACTCGGCCACGACATTCTCCATTCCCCCTCAAAAAAATGTGCAGTAGTGGTTTAGCCTAACTAAATGTTTCAGAACATAGGCTACACACGTAACCTATCAGAGCCAACACTCATTATGCTCACACAGCATTAACATTGCTAGGATTTTACTTTCCCTAAACCACTGTAATTCTTATGCTATCATCAGTTAAGTAAATAATGTGCCTTCAGTAAGAGAACAGGTTCCATAAGTGGCACATCACCATGGGAAAAGATTTGTCAATCGTGAATTCTTGCTCTTGATATATTTGTCTGTCATGACTTTTTACACCCACCATATTCATGTCATGTGTTTTTACACCCATCATATTCTTCTGTCATGTGTTTTTACTCCTGACATATTAGTCAGTCATGTGTTCTCTCTGTTGCAGGTGTGCATTAAAGAACTCCACACTTGCTTTCCTCAACAATCCCCAGGACATGAAAAGGCTTCCAGACAACAATACATTCTACCTAACTGCCTACACCCTAACGTGAGTCAATGGTTACTGTGGTGAGTCAGTGGTTACTGTGGTGAGTCGGTGGTTACTGTGGTGAGTCAGTGGTTACTGTGGTGAGTCAGTGGTTACTGTGGTGAGTCAGTGGTTACTGTGGTGAGTCAATGGTTACTGTGGTGAGTCAGTGGTTACTGTGGTGAGTCAGTGGTTACTGTGATGAGTCAGTGGTTACTGTGGTGAGTCAGAGGTGAAAGGTTGGCGTCACAGTGGTGTCAATGAATTCAAATTGGTGAGTTATTGACGTGAGTGTTGGCTACTGTGTGAGTCTTGGCTTGTGAGGGGGAGGGTTGGCTACTGTGAGTTATCTACTGTGATGGTTGGTTACTAAGGGAGGGATGGTTACTAAGGGAGGGCGGTCCATAGAATTACCCCAATCACCCAAATCAGGCCAAAACTACCCAAAACGTATTAGCATTACGTAAGTAATGAAGAAATATGGTATATTTACTTACTATAATGTTGGTGCTACACGTAGAACATGATCAAACCTATTTTTTCTTTGAAATAATCTAATTTCATAACGAAATGAGACGTAAATATGTGAGAGGTGACGCCATAGGAAGTCGACGGTCCAAGCGACAATTGTGTGGAGCGACTTATCCAAGAAATATGGTCGCCAGGAGAGTGTTTGCTGCCATATCAGCCTCCTGTACACAGTGATCCAGTCCTTTTCGTTCATTGAACACCGAACCCTACACGCCCTCTGATATATTGCTTAATTAACAAATATTCACAAATAAAGATTATATTTGTATATGTTATCAGAAAGGCAGATATAAAATAGTTTTTGTGAATCCATCACAGAGATTATACCTTATTAGAGAGGAAAAATATTCATACTTTAAACAAGGCTTCATGGCCGACGCTCTCCTTACCGATATGGGAACTATGACCTTCCGAAGATCAATGTTAATTTAATCTAGATATTGTAATAAACGAAGTTTTCTATGTCATCATAAAGACATAAATATAAGCTGCATGTTAATACTTTGGCATAAATATAACTGAATTGAAAGTCCGGACACATGAATAGTCGCATTAGGTGAAAGGAAATGTACCCAACCATTTCCATTTACCCAACCAGTTTGTGCACCCTATACTCATCCTCTGTGCGGTAATTTATTGTGCATCCCATACTCATCTTGTTACCAGTAGTTTGTGCAACCCATACTCATCCTGTGACCCGTAATTTATTGTGCATCCCATACTCATCCTGTTACCGGTAGTTTGTGCAGCCCATACCCATCCTGTGACCTGTAATTTATTGTGCAACCCATACTTATCCTGTGACCTGTAGTTTATTGTGCAGCTAATACTCATTCTGTGAGTCATAGGACATTGCGCAACCCTTTCTCATCGTGTGAATCTTTGTTTACTTTGCTCTCCATATTCATCCTCTGCGCGATAGTTTCTTGTGCAACCCATACCCATGATGTGAGTGGTAGTTTATTGTGTACCCTATATTCATCCTGTGAGTATAGGGTTCACAATTCTTGTTTGGATTCTTGTAATGTTATTTGTCTATTTGTAGTCACAGTATTTGTGCGCCCCTTGAGGGACTTGAATTAGAGGGGGGTTGAAATAGCCTAAGCTACTCTATCCCTTTGAGATTTATTTATTGCTTATCTCAATAAACATACTTGAACTTGAACTTGGGTACACAATGAGTTCATTTGTACTCCATACTCATCATCAAGAAGTGTATTTTACCAGCATTGTAATATAAATTAAGAATAAAAGCTTAACTGGATTACAGACCCATAATCAAAATAAGAGTCATCACTAATTATCATGACAAATTCTCTAGGCTACACTTCCGCCTTCGACAAGCTGCCGCCGGATGTGGGTATAGTTTATTGTACACCCCCGCACCCCCAGTCCTGGAAGGGCGGGCATTGGGATGTGGACATGTGTACCATTATTCCCCCCCCCCCCCCCCCCACACACACACACTCGATCCTCTCCTGTTAATAATAATACAAATTAAAAATAATAACGTTAATAAATATTATAATTAAAACACTTACTGTAATACCCTAGTGCTTGAATGAAGGTGAAGGAAAGACCCAATAAATGTGTAAGTGTATTAAAACCCAAATTTTCGTTGGGTGAGCTGGCAGGTGAGCACCACTTGCCAGCTCACCCAGTAATGAACATCACCTGCACACTGCACCGAACCACTTGCCAGCAGGTGCAGAAGTACGATGGAGAGAGCAAAGTATACCATATTTCAAGTATAATATTAAAGATATATTTAGGATTTAATGTTTTCGTATAAAGTTTCAATAATACCTTTATTTGATTTTTTTGTATTATTTTCTACCACAGACGTGGCCACACATTAACAATGCTAACCATCATATATACATTTTCTTCAGTCCGCCATGGACTCTAACCCTTTCCACTACCGCCCACAAGATGGGTATAGGGTGCATAATATAAGAACTAAACTAACTCCATTGATAGGGTTAGAGATTTGTTAAACATATAGTTCAGGGATTTATTGAACAATCAACCACATAAGGTGATTGTAGTGTTTTTAAAATGCTAGGCTAAGCTACATACGTAAATACATAAATACACAGATTTACGTATGCCCTACATGAAGTGTTCGATGTGTCTTTTACATAGTGTCATTAACGTGCATTTACAAAGGTGAAATTGAATTCTGAACACATACATACACATATATTTGTCTCTTTTACTCTGACAAGGTGAGATAACTGATAGAGAAACTAGTGTGCAATTAAGCACTTAATCACTGAAGGTGATTAAGGTGCTTTCACAAGCTCAGGTTATAGAGTTACATCACATACATTCATTGTATAATTGATACGTTACATCGTCAATCTAGGGTACAAGTTCAATATATCATCAAGTGTTCCAGTACTCAAATAGTAATTACACAGTTTAGCATAGCGCTTCATTCATGTATGTAAGAGAGAAGATTGTTCAAATATATTACATGCACATCCGGTACATCGTCCACCTTCTTCTACAGAACCGTCGGTATAGCACTGATACACATCGTTACCCATACTCTGAGTACTTTCAGTGATGCTTCACAGTGTTAACTGTTTTAATAATGTAGAGTGTACATTATCTTTCTTGGGTGCATTTACAAAATCAACTGCTAGATCCAAGTTATCCCATGGAGTAATTGGTTGCTTAATCGTTAATTGAGTTGGGTACATATTTAATATTTTGATGGAGTTGGCTATCTTGTAGAACCAAAATGCATTCACGCCGAAAACTGTGCTAATAGACAAAATTATGTTAGAGATATGGGTCTATAATTATCTGAGTGTGCTTTGGGGATGGGAACAATGACACTGTCCAATCATCAGGTAATACTCCTTCACTTAAACTCATTCTGTACAACACTAAAAGGGGATTACCTGGTACTTGTGAGACTAATCTCAGTAAACTGTAAGTAATACCGTCCTCTTCAGGAGCAGTTGACTTATTTGATTGTGCTACACAGCCTTCCCGGCTTGGTGCCTTCTTTGGTAATTACTTATCAAAGGCAGCTCCATACGAGGAGCTGCCTCGTATGGGCCAATAAGTCTTTTGCAGTTACCTTCATTCTTATGTTCTTACTTACATTTACTGATCTTTATCATCATCATCATCATTTACAGAAAGAAATTAACATAAAAAGTAGTCATTTTAATACACAAAACAGAAGTAGATATTATGTAAATTATGATGCAGGATAGGATCACTATTAAGAACTTAATTATAAACCACAATATGTTTTATATCGTCAGAAATTCTGATACATACCATATATTTTCAAATATTTACAATTAAAGTATTTATTTAGGAAATAAGTATTTTAGTTACCCTAGTTAGCTCTGAGAACACACATTGTTGCAGCAAGAATTTCTTCCCACTAATCTGAGCGATGCTAATGACCCATTGGACTTGTCATGAACAACAATCAACTACAGCACCATCTATATCAGAAGATATTCAAAATATTCTTGATGTCATTCAAATTGTCAATACGAGAACAGAATACATAAGAGTTAGTTTAGTGATGTCAAAGGAATCATATTGACTGACCGAGCCCCATTGTAAATATCCGTGGCTTCCTGACCATAAAGGTACCGCCGCGGATAAGGGTAAGGAGGGTACCGTCGAGGGTAAGACACCGGATGTACCCCATATACAAGCCACACTAGCTATTAGTTCATATAAGCTGACAACTTACCCAAATAAACATTACTTCCTAATTATATATATATACATATATATATATATATATATATATATATATATATATATATATATATATATATATATATATATATATATATATATATATATATATGTAAATTATGATGCAGGATAGGATCACTATTAAGAACTTAATTATAAACCACAATATGTTTATATATATATCCTACTCACACTCATCCTAGCACAGTAATTTATTGTGCAACCCATACCCATCCTGTTACCAATAGTTTGTGCAACCCATGCTCATCCTGTTACCTTTAGTTTATTGTGAAACCCATACTCATCCTATGAATGGTAATTTATTATGCACCTCATACTCATCCTGTGAGTCATAGGACATTGTGGAACCCTTTCTCATCGTGTGAATCTTTGTTTACTTTGCTTTCCATACTCTGCTCTCCGATAGTTTCTTGAGCAACCCATACCCATGATGTGAGTGGTAGTTTATTGTGTACCCTATACTCATCCTGTGAGTATAGGGTACACAATGAGTTCATTTGTACTCCATACTCATCAAGAAGTGTATTTTACCAGCATTGTAATATAAATTAAGAATAAAGGCATAATCTTATTATGTACCCATAATAAAAATAAGAGCCATCACACTATAATTTTCATGACAAACGGCCTAGACTCCACTTCCGCCTTCGACAAGCTGCTGCCGGAGGTGGGTATAGTTTATTGTACACTCCCGCACCCCCAGTCCTGGGAAGAGGGGCATTCGAATGTGG